CCCCCCCCCCCCCCCCCAAGCAAACACATGGATGGCGACCAGCTTCTGGTTCTTCCTTGAGGAAACAATCCTGGTCCGGCGAAAATCCGGCATGTCGCTCCATCCCGGCAACTTGGGGTTGCGAGTTCTGTGGTCTACCGACCACGGCATGCGCTTCCATGAGCACCCCCCCTTGATAAGCCTGGTCCGGTGAAAACCCGGTGTGCTCTGTCCCGGATTGGTAGGGATGAGAGGGTCAACGGTCTAACGACTACAACGGAATGCGCGGCTTTGAGTACCCCCGGCCGCTCATAGGTGGAGACTGTTTGCCGACGTAAAGAAGAGTGTCGTCATGGTATGCAACGAGACCAGGGAGACACTCGTAGAGTGTAGATGGAAGTGGGGGGTCGAGGAGCTCGCCGTAGTGGATCGACCACCTAGCTCGGTGTAGAGATTCGAAAGGCTGCTCGTGGAATGCACACATGTCAAAGGTAGCGGAAAAGGGCAAAGCACGAGCAGGGAAGCTGTACCCTATACTCGAAAACCGGCACCTCGAAACACGCATAAAAATTACAGTATTGAAGGGCGCAATGGTTCCGCCGCTAGAATACGCCGGAGAAGTATGGGACGGAATTAAGAAGGTAAATAGTCAAAGAGCTCGAGGTGGCGCAGATGAAAGCAGGGATAACTATCCTAGGATGCTCCGAGCGCACTGGTAATGCAGCCGTCAGATCCGAAGTGGGGATCCGACCCTACCATCGGGAAGAAACGCAAGCAAGCTGACATGACAGTATGACATGTGCGGTATGGGAGGGGAGAGGGTGCCGAGAAAAGCTAGGCAGGCAAAGTGGGTAAACAAGAAGGGGGGTAAACAACCCATGGGGTGGGTCAAGGTTGTAGAGGGCGTATGGAAGGGGCTCGAAATCGACAAGGTGAAACGCAGGAACGGACGGTCTAAAGGAGTTCAAGGAGAAGATTTCTGTTGATTTTGTCGAGAGAGGACATAATAAAACCAAAGAAACCAATTATAACGAGGGTCTGGAAACGTACGGAATGTTGAATTCAGGACCGGGGACAAAAGGCCCTCGAGAACGTCGACGAAGACATCGGACGATAGAAGACGAAGACGACGAGTTCAAATATTATTGCGGCTTCGAATGCGAAGACCGTGTTCATGTAGTTGCGGAATGTCCGTTGTACAAGAAGGAGAGGTAAGTGTACGTGACTGGGCTGGGGAATATAGATGGGACGTACAGGGAGATGTTTGAGGCATGGAATAGAGAGGAAAGGACGGTAGCTGTACTGGGGCATACGAGGTGGGTTGAAACGGCGGGAAGGGATATCGTTAGGAAAGACAGACTTGGGAAGACATTTTTGAGCCATTCTTGGCAAAGTAGAAAGGAACGATTGGCCATCCGTGATCGGCCCTGTGGGAAAAATGCTCCGTCCTCTCGAGGACGCGTGGTCAATGGTCTAACCGCTAAGGCATGCAAAACATAAGAGTACGCCCCCCCACTCGCCGCCGGCCTAAGGCAAAACCGTCTGTCACACCTGCTCGATGCCATAATTCCTGTTCCACTGGGCCAGCACGGGTAGCTTGTTCCGGAACACCTCCCCGGAACGCTGGTCGACGCAACCCATGTTGAGCTTGCTCACGAACCGCACGACCGGGCAGCGGTCGGGGTATTCCTCGCCGCAGTGTATCCTCAAGGTGTACAACCGCCCCTCGTGCTGGGTCTGGCGTGGGGGTTGGGGGTTGGGGGGACGGGTGTCATGCCTGCCACGAAAGCACACGAACGCTGACGACCCATCTCAGCATACGCGGAAAACCGTTCCAGCTACGATTGGAGATTTACCACGAAAGGCCTAGAAAGCGAGCTATTAGCAACAGTCCTGCCACGACTGCATGATTACCCAAAGGGTTCACTCAAACGAAACATATGTGGTTTAACAGGAGCAGGGCGTGCTCTCTACGCCGAAGGCTTCCTCCCGTGAAGCCGGCAGAGTAGACGCCTCCATTAGGACAGAGGTGCTCTGCTCTGTGTACGGTGGGCTTGACGCCTGTTACGCCATGTCCGAGCTTTCGAATCTGCTTGTACTGGCTTGATCGAAAACCGGTGGGCACTACGCCTTGCATTCCATGCACGAGCTGTTGAATCTGCTGGGTGGGCTTCCCGCTGTTAGAATACTGGCGAAACATTCGAACGTTCTGGGCGGCCAACAGCAACAGCAGCAGCTACAACGCACCCCGTTAGGACCGAGGATGGTTCCGTTCCAGTCGGTCATGAAAATGTCGTCCCCGTCCACCAGCCCAAAGCTCACGCTGTGATCCCCCACTCCCTTCTCCCCCTTCTCTAGCTCCTCCAACAGCTTGAAGTTGCGAGGCACTGAGTCAAAAGATGGTGGCGAAAGGGCGGTTGTTACCTGGGGCTTGCTGAAAATGGCCAATTTTGCAACAAGTCTTCAAGCATTTCTGCAATCACTGCCTGTCCATCAGCATGTGCAGCAGCTTTGCAGCTACCCGAGGCACAGCGGACAGGACCCGGCGGGTGACTGACTATCTCCGGCGCAGGTCGGTCGGGGCAACCGAACCCCTGCAACAGCAGCAAAAACGGATGCTGTTTTCGGTGGAGAAGAGTACTCGAGGTCACCGCAGCCGCAGAACAATCTGAAGCTATTGTGAAGAAACCAGGGATAATTCCATTGGCTTTCGGCAAAGCTGTCTTCCAGCAGGAATAGGCAAGGGCCTTTCATCCTCCGGAGGCCCCATGTGTGGTACAGCAGCAAATACAAATACTGCATACGCTCACTGTGAGGCGCTTTACTGCTGTAAGTCCCTTCGGGCTTCAGCGCGTTTTTCTACATTAGTAGGGCACGGTACATACGAAAGATATAAGTTATTAGCGGTCGGCTTGGACTGCTTGGCTTATTGTGTCCGGCGAACAAGCCTACGTGTTGTGGAAAGGGCCTCCGATAGCACTGCAGCTGTAGTTTGGGCTTCACATCATTTATTTGCCGTGGACGGCAGCAGCAGCAGCATCAGCAGCACTAGGCTGCCGCGCAGACGAACACAGGAGAGCGCAACTAACTCATGACCACGGCGTCCCGAACAACGCTCGTCCATGATTCGTCTCGAAGTTTACCCCCCCACAACGAGCGTGTCATATACCTTACCCAACACACACAACACACAGCACCCGCTGCTACTGCACGGTGACTACTGAAGAGGCAACGTCCTCGCAGCGGCATCCGCCGTCGGTGATAACAATCAATGTACAGATCAAATTTTGATCCTAAACAGAGCGCGAGTCAACCTTCCAGATGGTACAAAGTACATGACACCGGAGAGAGGGCATCACAGATACCGACGGCGGCAGAGCTTTTGATCTACGCGGTGATTTCCTCCTGAGAAGGAGCGATCGGCGTGAACCTCCTCTCGCCCTCTGGTGCACACGTGCACACCGAAGCTTGGAAGGACAGCACGTCGAAGCAGCTCTCAGGAAGTAACCAAAAAAAGGGTGGTATGCGGTTTCTTCTTTCTTGTGTATATATTCTACAAGGATTGGGGAACCATGCACCATTCAAAACTCACCCATGATGACCTCTCCAGTCGCCGTTGTCATCATGATGGTGCCGGCGTACTAGCTTTGCTCGTTGCTTACCTCAGCGTGTCGCGCGCGGAAGGTTGGGAGGTTTTTGTTCGTCTTGAAAACGCGCGCAGAGGGTTTGGTATAGAGCAGCAGCGTGTTTTACTGCGGAGAGATCAGGCCGCATGCGCGCGCGCATTATTTTAGGTTTCTGGCGAAGGATCCACCTCGGGCGAGGCAGGGGCGAGGTACGCATAAATACCTCGATCCTCCTGGCGCTCTACTTCCCGCTTCCCAATACCCAAGACCTTATGTGGCAGCGAGATAGAGACCGAATGGGCAAAGATGAACTTCGACAATGGCAATGGATTGTCAGGGCGCTTTGGTCGGCTGCGTCGAAAATGGCTCTCGGCGATCACCAGCAGCAGCAGCAGCGGCATGGACAGGGTGCCGGTGCGGGTTCTGCTGCAAGATCTGCTGCAGGACCACCCGCCGGCCTCTCGTCGAGGAGACCGATGTGCCAACTCCAGCTTCTTGTACCCGACACGATCTTGTTCGAGCGGGGTGAACCCTGCAAATGGATAGGATGTTCCCCAGAAGGCATCGTGGTACGAAAGTCGTTCGTCCGAGCAGCAGCAGCGTCGATCAGGTCTGGCTCGTCAACTTCGTCCATCGTCGCCAGCTCCGTTGTAGAAACATCGACGGCAGCGGAGATTCGACACGCAACGCTTGCGGAGCGAACCGGCCCCAGATATCAGCCATCGTCGTCGGGGGCCATGGACGAGGTCGAGGTAATGGAGCGAATGGACATCGTACTTGCGGCGTTGTCGTCGTTTGCCGCAGGTGGTACCGAGTTGCTCTCAACGTCGTCGCCATCGGCCGCGGGCACGGGCAGCATGGACAGGAATTTTCCTGTATGCGTCGCGAGATACAACGATGGTACGATGGAGTTTTTGTCCGAAGCGTCTCTACGAGCTTTAAGCAGTTTTTACAATTGGCGGGCTTCCTTGTGTGCCCTCCAGGCCTACGTTCGTCCTTCGACGAGCACGGGGACGAGGAAGATCGGGACATATGTTAGGCGCGATGAGCAACCCAACAGCACTCTTGCCCCCGAGCTTTCAAAAACAACACACGACGAGAGTCGTGTAGGGCCTGAACCAACCACCAACTTCAATAGCGCGTGCCCTCATGCTGGTGACGACGAGCCCCGTCGCGATAAACACTCGATGATGCGGACGTTTTCGTCTGTCGTTGCTGCTCCATCGGAGGCCTCATCAACTGCAAGCCCAGGGGCGATGGTGGCGGCGGATGGTGGTACTCTCGCTGGTCCAGCCACCCAGGTCTTGGCGGCAGAACTTAACGAAGCGACGAAGGATGTGGCATTTGTTGCCGACATGTCTTACGCTCGGCCAATCGAGACCCCACCTCGTGCTGCGCGAAGGATGAGCACCGCCACCGCTTCAAGCCACGGGCTTCAAGACTCAGATGAAGGCATCAACAGCGTCGGAAACCAACCGATAAGCAGTGGAAGAGATCAATCGGCAAGTCGGTCGGTATGCATCATTGGCGGGCCCACAGGGCAGCCGCGGCGCCCCCGCCCTCCGTGGCCGAAATCGCGAGTTCGCATCTCTCGACTGGAGGCTGAATATGTCATCGATCAAGCCGGTCGTGCGTGGTTCACTAAAGCGACAAAGGTGTTTGTGTGCATTACATCGGGCTTTGTACAGTAGTCAGCTCTTCGAGCATTGAGTTTTTGAAGTTCGTGGGATTCAGCCGCACTATGATCATGATGCTTTCATCGTGTACCTCAAGTGAGTCGATTGCATCTCGAACAGCAGAGAGTCATGATGATGTCCCGACAGTGGACAGACCGTGCTTGGTTCGCTGGTGGCTGGCATGTAAAGAGCGTGCACGTTGGTGTCAGTAGCATTGTTTAAAGGCCAACAACATGCCGCGTAGAACNATGGATCCCCACTTCGTCTCAGACCTTTGCTGATCGTCTCTCAGCAATATCAAGCAATTTTCCCATCTCAACGTGGTCGTGGACAAGCGTGTCAACGACGGAACCTTCAACTATCTCCAGGAGCAAGCTACCGCCCACGGCTTCACTCCTTGAAACTTGGCGTCAGCTGGCATTACACGGCAGCGGGTGCTGGACGCGGCTTCCACGCTGCTGTGTGTTGTTGCCACGCTTTTTTTTTTCACAACCACCGGGTTGCTTGATGCTTGGTCTCACCACCACATGGCACTTTTTTTCGGGGAATCGTTCATCCTCAAAGCATTTGAATTGGAAACCTTTCAAAAGCGCAAACCCACAGCGGTCTTTGCTCGCACTTCGGCACCAGTTGCGGAGGAACGCCGTGCTGCTCTGCGTGTCTTTTGGTCGGAAAACCTCGTGTCTCCATGTAACACGGGCCCTTTGTGCTAGCTTCTACTGCTGTTTGTGCGTGGCATGGTGTGCTTTTGGACGCTTTTTCTGCTTGATTGGATCCGCTTCAACCTCGTGTGCATCAAGCTTTTATCACTGGGCGTATGCTATCCAGTGGATATCTTCGCCTTTCGCATGGACCTCGGCTTGCTTTTCCCGAAGTTGCACCCGACTTTTCTGCTTCTGCTGCTCTTGGTGCTGCTGCATCTGCGGTTGGTTATCCTACATCTGCTGTTTCTGGCCCTGCTGCCCTTTCCACAATCGATCGTAGCTACCCTCTCTCTGGCCCTGTCCTTCTTAACAAAGAGGACACCATATCCAGAAGCAATGTGGAACTCCTGGGCGACATTGTGGGAATCCTGGATTACGAGCCCGAGGGCGGTGCTCCCACCGCAGAGCAGTTTCCAGCGGCCGGTGCAGGAGACCAGAGCCCCCCCATGCCCGTTGTGTTCACCGTCGATAATCTGCTGGACAACATCGCCACAGCAGATCCGGCGGAACTGGAGCGCGCCTCCAACACCGGACGTGTCTCTGGAGGATATTGTAGAAGCGGCCCATCTGTCGTCCGATTCCCCCCTTTTCGTTCCTCCTTTCTCGTTCCCGCCGGAAGACAAATTAGTCCTCTTACCCCACGACGAGTTTATGGCGTACCAAAGGTTGAACGAGATGTGGTGCGACGGTCGTGCCGAAAAGTGGCGGAGGCGCGAGAGCAGGCGAAGCGCGAGGATGCGGAGCGCTTGGCGGNTTCCCGCCGGAAGACAAATTAGTCCTCTTACCCCACGACGAGTTTATGGCGTACCAAAGGTTGAACGAGATGTGGTGCGAGGGTCGTGCCGAAAAGTGGCGGAGGCGCGAGAGCAGGCGAAGCGCGAGGATGCGGAGCGCTTGGCGGAACGTGAGACTGCTCTGGCTGCTGCCGCGAGGAAGCAAGAGGAGGAGCGTGCGGCTGTTCTGGCGGAGCGTGAGGCGTATCTCCAAGCGGCTAGGGCGAAGCAGGGGGCGCTCCGATCGCGACTGGAGGAGCTGGAGCCCCGCCACCAGGATCCGCGAGCAACCCCCCACCCCCGTCGCCGTGTTATCGTCCCCCCCCCAACGCAGTCCCAAGTGCCCCTTGGTTCCCATCGTAACGCCTCGCCGCACGAGAAGGAGCGGGAGGTGGCGGCTTCTCCGACGAACGNACTGCTCTGGCTGCTGTGGTGAGGAAGCAGGAGGAGGAACGTGAGCCTGCTCTGGCTGCTGCCGCGAGGAAGCAAGAGGAGGAGCGTGCGGCTGTTCTGGCGGAGCGTGAGGCGTATCTCCAAGCGGCTAGGGCGAAGCAGGGGGCGCTCCGATCGCGGCTGAAGGAGCTGGAGCCCCGCCACCAGGACCCGCGAGCAGCCCCCCACCCCCGTCGCCGTGTTATCGTCCCCCCCCCCACGCAATCCCAGGTGCACCTTGGTTCCCATCGTACCGCCTCGCCGCACGAGAAGGAGCGGGAGGTGGCGGCTTCTCCGACGAACGAGAAGGAGCGGGAGAGGACAGCGACTCCGGAGTTTTCGGTGACTTTGGGTCTTCCGGTCGGTGCTGAAGACGGAGCATCGTTTGCGGCGGCAACCACGGTGTACTACAGCGTTCCTGTCCCGCCCGCTGGAGATGCCTGCAGAAGTTGTAACGTTCTACAATGGGGACAAATTGGCAGCTCTTATTGCATGGGCTGGCATCAACCAACTTGTCCGTGCACAATTCCCCCCACCGCACACCGTTGCTTTCGGGCACATCTACCACACCCCATACCTCGCGAAACTTCCGCCTTCTTCGCGGCAGTCCGTGTTCCAGCTATTCTTCGCTCTCCGTCGTGCCACCTTTCATAAAGGTCCTCAAGGAACATCGGTGGTGACACATGATCGAGGACTCCAGCTGCCTCTTGCTCGTGCTGCCTGGAACAACGACTTCAAGCACGATCTACAAGCCCCCCGGCAGGCCTCTTCACGCACTGCGCATGGTTCTGGAGAGGACAAGGACAACAGTTGGTCAGCGGCTCCTGTGTTCAAGACCTGGAAGAACCGTTGGGGCGACCGGGATTCGACCGCCAAGAGCGGGACGGACGACCACCGCCGCTCCACCCAGTCTTCGCGAGGGCGCGGCGTCGGAGATGACAGGCGAGGGCGAGCCTTGGGGAACCAGCCTACCAGGTCTTCGCCGGCGAGTCGCCATCGCCGGAGCAGGAGTCGGAGGGCAGAACGTCAACAGCGCACCAATCCTTTGTCTAGGCGTGGGCGCAGCCGGAGCGGAGACCATCGTGGGAAAAACACGCCTCCGTCTAGGCGTAGCCGCAGCCGGAGCCAGAACCAGAGCGGGGCAACAGCAGGGCGACCAGCACTGACAGCAGTCGCGGCGGAAAAGTGGGACGGAGGTCAGGCCACGGTAACAGGCGAGTTATGTATGATCGGGGTGATTTTTGTAGCTCTGGGTTGTTGGGGGAAAACAAGGATGCTTCAGAAGACGGTTCTCTCTGTTCTTCGCCGCTTGTTCTACGCCCTCCCGCTGATGTAGCCCAACCGACCAGGTCTTCTTTGGCTGTCAAACTTGCCAACATGCAACTTTGTGAACATTCAGCCGCTGTGAAAAGCCATGCCCCTGCCCATGCCGTTATGGATCATCCCACATCTTCCTTGCCTTTGGACGAACGTGTTGAGTCACCACGCCATGCTGGCTCACACGCCTCGACTTCGGCTTCCCGTACTGAAACGCTGTTGGAACAAGTACTCACTCTCCTGCGAGCAAATCAAGTAGTGGATGCTGCTGCCGACGCGAATGTACAACCTCCTGTGCCCTCCCCACGCTCCTAGCGTGCCACCACCTGCCCCATCTTATTCCCCACCAACGCATCCGACACCGATGCAAGACCACGCTTCGAGCTTTTCGGGAGCTCCTGTGGGGCGCGATGTTCGTGCCGAAACCGCTGCCAGGACCACGCCAGGATCATCGTCATCAGCCACGAGGTCGGCGACAGTACCGGCCGGGCCTGCGATGGTACCGTCAGCGTCGACAGCCCCAGCCCTGTTGCAACAGCTATTGGTGGTATCGCCACCCCCCCCTCCAGCGTGCGTCTGTTCTGATTGATCCTGACTCTGCAACCGGCCACATCGTCGAGCCACCGGGTCAAGCGGCATCACCGTTGCCACAGGACGATGCTGGTTTGCCATTGTCTTCCACAGGAGCGAGAGCGAGGCAGGAGGCTCTGGACGCTGCGTACAACGCTGCAACGGAGGCCGACACCATCCGCATTCAAGACAAGATGGACAAGCTGAAGCCGGAACAACTTGAAAGTGTCACACGCTTGCCCCTCGGTCCTGATCCTGATGAATTTGCTCGCTTCGCGTCTAGCTGCAAGGGTGTGGTCACAGAGATCCTCAACAAAAGCGACGTCAAGCGCAAGCAGACTTTCAATTCCTCCACCTGGGTCACCGGATGGCTTCCGTTGTTGCGCAAACGTGTCCGTGCTGCTGTCGTTGAAGGCCAAACCACCAACCGTGCCACTCTGGAATTTCTTGATGCCACCTTCCTACAGGTAGAAAACCATCTGCGCAAGGAACCGGCAGGGCCCTCGACGTACGCCTTCTTCATCCAGAAATTGGCGGCCGCCTGGGACACTCAAGACAAGAGCTCGGGGATTTATCGTCTTCGCAGTTTTGGCGTATCCAACGGCGAGACCTCCGGAGAATACATTCGTCGCTATAAGGCTCTGGCCATGACCGTCATGGTTTNGCTGGAATTTCTTGATGCCACCGTCCTACAGGTAGAAAACCATCTGCGCAAGGAACCGGCAGGGCCCTCGACGTACGCCTTTTTCATCCAGAAATTGGCGGCTGCCTGGGACACTCAAGACAAGAGCTCGGGGATTTATCGTCTTCGCAGTTTTGGCGNGCAGATAGCTGTTCGAGACTCCATGTTGAAGCAGTTTCCGGTAGTGTCTGGGCAGGTGTACAAGGATGAGCAGCTCTCCATGGAAGCCCCTTTTGGGCGACATGCTTCGTGTCTGGATGATATGTGGGATGTGTTGGACAAGCGTGCGTTCGCGCACACGCCGGCGGTGCATGGAGATGATTCATTTTCGGTGTCTCCCACGAATGCTAGGAGTTCGTCTGCTGTTTCGCGTGCTGTAGCTTCTTCGGCGTTGCGTTCGACGGTGACCCCTTCGTGGAGCCAAGGTTCTTCGGCCGCCGTGATGAGTGTTGACCCTCTACCTAATGATGATCGGGACCCTTTTCTGTTGCACTACAGCGACTGGCCGTTGCAAGGACACTTCCAAGAGGTGTACAACGTCGCTAGTGAGATGGCTCTAACCAAGATTGATCCGCCATTGTTCACCCCCTTGGTCTCGGCTGAACAGCGCCGCAACGCGCTTCGACTGTACAAGGGCAAGTGCCTCAACTGCTTAGGAGAAGACCACTCCTTCAAATCCTGTAATCGTGGTTTCGTGAACGCCACCGGCTTGCTTAGCATTGACATCAAGCTCTGTATGGAAAAAAATCCCACCCTTTGGGGCCGGGGGAACAAGCGCATGACCTCGTATAGACGCCCTACAGGACGCAACCCACATCGAACAGTCAATCCTGCGGAGACTCGTCGCTGCGCCTCGCCCTACTACCGTAAAGGGTTTCGATATCAATTTGTTACAGCTGCGAGGATGGCCAAGGCTGGTATCAACGTATTTAACTCCCCTGCAGTGTACTCGGCGTTGCCCTGGTAAAGCTGGTTTCAGCTTCTTGGTGGTGGGATGAAGCAGCGAGAGGCTTCCTAGACTACATTGTGGGGACGCCAACAGACGACGCTCTTTTGTAGTTTCAGACCCCACCGTCCCAAAATAATCAATCAATTGATCCAAAAGACCGCATATCGGCAGGAATCGACAAAGCACAGACCTCAGACTGTCATTCTTGTTACGTGGAGCTCGCCCGCCGAACGTGGCGCGACCGCTTCCTTGCGCTGCGCCTGTATCAGCCCGTCGTGAACAAGAGTTCAGCACGACACGCAGCCGAACCTACTGCAGCTTCCTCCTGCGCATGGCCAGCAGGGGTTGGCCGACTGTATTGAGTAACTTCTTCTTGAGTTCGTCCTTCGTTGCCTTGAGCTTGTGCGTCTTCCAGTAATCATCGATGTCGCTCTCCGCCTCCTTTACTCGGATATCCGCGATGTACTCCGCCAGCTCCATGCGCACCTTCAGGTTGTACGAATTGACATTATTGTGGTGCAAATCGATCATTTGCGGCCGAAGTATTCCGTGGAAGCGGAGAGCACCAAGCGTGATATCGACACTTTCTGTACACTGAGTATATAGTTGGGGGATCAGATACTGCCATTTACGGAGATTTCGGTTCTCTGTTGACTACGGCGCAATATTGTGTGTTTCCTCGGTACGGTTTGACAATATGAAGCGACGGAGTCGAGCAAGGCTGTGGGGTACGAAACGTTCCTTACAATGGAGTCGATTCCGTGTTAGACACAAGAGAGCAAGATGTGGGTGATAATCGTCTAGTGAACACCACGCCGAGAATGATCATGAAACAGAGGACGTGGGTATGAGATATCCCATACATGATTCCTCCTCGCAACGACGATTTGGTCGTCACCTCGGATGCTTCCACGCGGCCGAGATGCCCACGGTAGGCCCTCTGGACGTTCACTGCAGCCTCGTGTAAGACAGATTTGAGAGCCTCTATCTCCGCGCGCTTGAAGGCCCAGCGTTGGGCGAAGACCCTACCGCGGAATCCACGGAAGACTCGCTGCGACAATAGGCGGACGGTACGTGCGAGAGAGACGTACAAACAACTCAAGTTAAGATACGAAACGGCCATCTATAGACGTTGGAAGCGAACGAACAACACAAAAGAAGGCTCGCCATGTACGAGCTACAGCAAAAGAAATCCGGTGCACGGACAGGCGGGATTAGCAATCGACCTGACAACCCTGTGGAATGTGCATAGAGTTTGTTTGCTTCGACAAACTCCTCATGCCACCTTTGGAATTTGACACGAAGTGTGATGCGTACTCAACTTGTTTCAATGCATCGCCAACTGGGTCAGGGAGAACTCGTTAATATATACGGCAAATTCGGTGTTTATTGTTGGGCCTGGTCGTGTCTGAGACTCTGTAGAGCCGTTGTAGCATACGTGAACCAAAAGGGGGTAGACTATCGTGTTCCGTAGTGGAGAGCTGACCTGTATGTTCCTAGACGCCTTCTCTCTCTCCCTGTTCTCAAGCACTCTCATGGCCTTGCGCTGCGACACGCGCCGCTTGTTCTTGGCCTCTCGGAGCTCCCCGCGGTCTTCAGCCTTCCGAGCACGATCCAAGAACTTCTTCTGCGCCGCCGCTCGCTCTCGAGCCTTAACCACTTCCTAGCAACACGGCAAAGCACGGGATTGTAGGATTTCCCCGGATGAGAGGAAAGGGGATTCACGGATTGTGTCTGTACGCGAAACAGACGTCGTCAACACCAGAAGCTGCTCCAAACAATCATGCAAGTTCTACAAAAGTCACCCGCATTCGTTCTTGTCCATGCCCTTGCTCATACGTCTCGTAGTGGGCACTATGAAGGGAGTTGAGACTCAAAGAAACAAGTCATCGGAGATCTAACCTCAAGGTTAAGTTTCCAGATCAGGAAAGCCTCAAAAGACAGCCAGGCTCTCGTTGTGTGTTGTATCTCTCTCTCCCGCCCTCCCTCCCTCCCTCTCTCTCTCTACCTCTATCGCCCGCTCGCTCTCTCTCGTGTGCACGGGGAACATCGGTAGCGTTGATTGTACCACAACAGGGAGCCGCAGGCGCCAGGGGCGCGAAAACCTAATAGCCAGAGGCTTCCGCGCCTAGTCAGCCGCGGCCTCACTCTAGTTGAAACGCGGTGGTGTGGGCGGTACTGAAGGTTGGGCCAGACCTCGAACGGTTTCGGTGCCTTTTCGCTCGAGGCCCCCGCCGTTTGGCCCTTGTACAGGTCGACGTTCAGTATTGTTAGCTTCCATTCTACATACAGTCTAGGTGCTGTATACTTTGGATAATCCACCCACCTGAACCATCTTCTTCCGCTCCGAGGTCAGGGGTGGGCGGAAGCTGGTGCCTTCCTTGGTCATCACGTCCCCTTTGCACGACCACGCTTCCTTCTCCCTCTTTACTAGGGTCATTGCATGCAGGTAGCCCTGCGTTTGCGGTAGTCGAGAAATGTAGTAAGAAAAAGGTGCGAAAACCCAAAAGACTGGCAAGCCAGTACCCTGTTGCGCCGATCACATCGTGCGCAGACGCCTTTTTTCGAGCCACGTACTTAGGGATCCCTTACGAAACGATGAATGGCTGCAGATCAACGATGGTCACAATCAGGATTATGTTCCTTACGGTGATTGGATGTACGCCAATGCGATGGGACCCTCCTGACCTGCACCATCGAGAACAGGCCGAACTTCATTGTGTTCTCCGTCTCTCGCAAGAGGTGCTTCTGGTCTTCTTGCTGTGTGTTCGATCCCGCAGTTTCCGCCAGAGGCATGGCGGACGAAAAGTGTACGGTGAAAGCACGACAGGGCCACGAACAGGGTACGACAGCCGTGTGTGAGGTGAAATGACAGAGCCGAAAACGAGGATCTCAAGAGTCTAGCACATTGTTTCCCTCGGTGCTCCACCTTAACGTCCGGTGTTGTTGAACCGAAAGTCAGCTGTACAGCGGGAGCATCAAGGAACACAGAGCAGGCAATCAGGCAACGTTTCCAATGGAGCGCCCGGTCCGAGCGCCCCGCCGTAAAACGACCAGCTCTTGCCGCAATCAACGGACTGCCTGCGCAATCAATGTAAGCTTAGTAGGCAAAAGGACCAAGAACGGGTCACGCAGACCGTAACACTAACCCCAACCCCAGACCGATTCTGTTCAATATCCAGTACGTTTGACTTTGAAGAACCTGCTCAATCAACTCACCTTCTTGCTTGCACGGCCTTCAATAATGCGTTGCTGGGCGATGTCGTCGATGGGCAGCGCCTTGGAGTGATGTGTTCCCTTAATCTCCTCGGGGAGTTGCTTACCCTGAGCATGCGCCATCCTCCGCAAGCGATGCCTAGGGCCATACGAGCATTCGATGATTTCGCGGTCGATTGTAGGCTGAGCTTCGTGAAGTCAAGGGCTGCTCAATTATTGTGATTGTATATTTAATGGTTCATGGGTGTTTTCTCGTCCGAAGGGAGATGAGTTTCAGACGGGAAGCCGCTTGTGGTAACCGCCAAGAGCCGGCAACATCTCCCCGAAGACCTCGAGCGGGATGTTCCCCCCTCTGCCGGTCCTATTCCCGGGGCACCCCTTCTCCCGGCGGGTGGACCAGACCAGGGCAGGAACCATAAAACCCTCCGAAAAGGGAAGCTACCTTTGTTCATGCCTCGACAGCAAGCAGTAGATCGAAGTTTCTGGCTGGTGAGTTTGGTTGTCCAACTACAGGACGTTCGCAAAGATGATGTTCGGTTTGGTGCAATGCCACACCCGAGTTGTCCCGTACCGCATGCATGCCTGCAGAGGGACGAAACACGAGTTCTCCGTGCCGCCACGACGAAGTCACTCAAAGGATTCATCGACTCCTACTCTGCCTCACCGGTGCTCGAGGTATGCAACCGCCCGTCTTTGATCCCCGGGTCGGAGGGGGGCGGACGCCTTGACGGCAGGAATTATGCCGGCTGCGGCGTGCTCCGCGTGCCGCTCCCCGAACACCCAGCCGTCCAACATCGACTCCAAGAGGTCGTCAACCACCTTGCAAAGTGAGCAAGCGGAGGGGTGAGATCCGATGAGACTAGGCGCTATCATGGAAACGGTTTGCTATAGAGCACCTGGAGCAGTATAATCAACGTCCTCGTGGAACAACATCGGTGTAGGCGGGCTTTCGGCCATGACCGTGGTACTGATACTCGTGGTGCGGGGGGTTGGTTGGCTTGTGGATGGACCTCACGACTACAACGCCAGACGCCAGCAGCACTTGTGGTAGGGGTTTCTCACCTCTTGGGCGGTCGTTCGCGCCAGGGTCAGCTCCCTTTCCTTTGACAACGCCACCTGTATACAAACAGAAGAGAGACCCACAGGTGCGCAACGTATTGACATGGCCGGGCCAAGAGTGTCGGGAACACTCAAATAATGAACCGCGCGGAAGCAGCAGGGGCCTGCGCTTTGTGGAACCTGCACACTTGCGAGACTTTCTTCGCCAACCTCGAAGATTGGAAAACAATCGAAGCATTGGTCATAAACCTCCACAATGATCGTTGCGGGAGCTTTGCTTCTTACCTGCGCGTCCTTGGTCCACATCAGCGTGGAATACTCGTGCAGCGACTTGACCTCGATAGCCTCTGCCTTGCAGACGAAGGCGTCGTGCAGCTCCTTGTCGACCGCGGCGAGGTGCAGCTGGCGGTCAAGTTCTTTCGCCTCCCACCTGCATGCACGCGACGAAAATCTGATTCACCGGCTTCTTGCCAGTCGCGCCTCGAGCTCGGATTGATTCCTGATCTCGGGTTCAAATCACAACAATTGCCACGTTCTTGTTGCGTTCCCCTCGTCGGGTGGCCTTGATAGCGCACATCAACAACTACGTAGAGGCAGTCGCGGTTAGCGTCTAGCCGATGAAGAATACGACAGGGTACAACCTGCGGGTCATCGCATGCGCTTGCCACCTGCACGTTGAGTCATACTGTGAAACTGCGACTTTGGAACCCCCGGAATTTCTCGCTCCTGCGTTCACCTAGACTCTGCCGCTGTCCATGAAGCACGTGCCCCGTTCGTCAGCCGGTTCGGGTCGAACGACTCTTCCCTACATTAAGAGCCCAAAACCTCAGTAGTGCGTGTAAGTTATTGTTTGACCTCGTCATTCTCACGCTTTTATTGTAGAGAATGCTCGATTCTCCACACTTGACTGTGCCGCCGACGTATCACAGACGAGGTTATCGACGGCGCCGTTGTTTTGGCTCCGACTGTCACCTGAGTTCGCTGATGGCTTCATTCCTTGGGAGAGTGGTAGGCCCGCCCCGTACGCAGCTCAGGGGGATGACGGTCACCACTTCATCCAAATCCCACAGTCCGATCAAGCGGAACAGTTCGTCTCGTATCTACAGGGCGAGAATCGATTGTGCGTGGAAGGCGCCGCAATGAACTATCTAGGTAGGAATAGACACAAAAGATTGCCTCGGCCTCTGTCAGCTTTGTAATTGCGCTTCACATTAGATGGCAGCCTGTCAAATAAGCCTATCGTGCGAGGAAGCTCAGATTGATCTGCGACAAGAGAGTCAGGGCAGGTTAGGCACGAGTCGATTCAACCATAAACCGATCTACAAACACGCCCAGGTTCTCCTCCCGTTTCGACCTGCAGCGCTTTTCCGAAGTCGCAGCGATGTATGGCTTCGTGTGCCTAGTGCAGCGAATTCGGCCTGCCACCGCAGGTGCATGAGTCGTTATATTTCGCAAAAATATATATATGTTTGACCGTGTTTTCGCTTGAGGATTTTCTGAAATGGATGCGGCCTACTTTGGGAGTCTCCCTGATGGTAGCCGCGCCCTACGGTAGAGACGATGCGACCCCAGCCGTGGAGGGAAACATCCACAAACCATGCCTCAGAACCATAAACAATGGTCTGTCATTTTCTTTCAGGGGGGCTACAAATTGTGTTCTTTGTGACTGTGGCCTGTCGGTCAGCCTCTCAGGGTCACCAGTTTATTGACAAACATAGCCTTCGTACACTACGGTACTTCTCGCCTTTCACTAACTCGATCCCTTCCTAGTAGGCTGTTAAAAAAGGGAGAACAAGTAAGGCATCCAAGTACTAGCCTGACATTGGGATTAGTACAGTTTGTCAGAAGCTGCAGGATGGTTCACCTGCGTTTTTCTCGCACCAACGGAGCGATAGTCCACGCACGAACTCCACCGACAGGGGAAAGTCAGGCACGCTCGGCAGCCCTCCCACGAAGGATCTTCGTCGATGAGGTCTTCCACCTAACGTAACGTGGTGGGTGGGTCGCGGGATGAGTGGACTCGGCCGTAAGAGCGGAAAGATGGAATGTGTAGACGTTTGTTGAGGCAAGGCTTGCGGCTAGCGTTAGCGTTGGGTGAAAAAGCCAAAGGACAGAGTGCATTGCTCGAGACGAGGGGTTCCCTGCTGCCGAACAAGAGACGGCGCTCAGGCGCAATAGAGCAAGAAATGCGCCCGACTTCACGCGCGTCCAGCGCCTCCTTTCGCAACCAATTCTTCTCTGCAGACAAGCCGGCGTCGGAAACAACCTGGCTTACCTCTTCTTGCGTAAACTCTTGCACGGCGGGAAGACGTTGCCAGCTGCTGACCTCTTCTTCTTGAACTTCACCCTCGCCTTTGGCCGAATCGCTGCCACCTCTACCACTGGTACCGAAATTCGGTGCAGAATGTCCATCACTAGTTGCCGTGGAACCACGACCAACGCTGCTTCTATTCCTTGCCGCCGCCGAGAAATCCTGCGATTCAGCGCCACGAGTGGAGTCGGTGACCTTGTCCGTTTTCCTAGGCAAGCGAGAATTGCCCGCTTGCCCCCCTCGGAAGCTCGCGTCAACGCGTTTGACCTGCCGCCACCGCCAAGGTTTGTGTGGAAGTGAAACGACCACTAGGTTCAGCATTGGCAGCTTTCGCCATTTGAGGTACTGGTACTTGTCGAAAGAGGCGATGGCATTATGCAGAGCCGGGAGTTTCAGCATCCTTATTGAGGACAAAGTCCACATTCGTTTTTCACCCATATCGTTAGACTTCTTCGCCTACCGTAGCGCAGCCCCATCACCGAACACGTGTTGCGCGCATGAGCATATGCCCACGGTTCTCATGACGTTTCGAACAGACGATTCACAAGTCGCGTATTACCGAATACCCAAGGCAGAATAGGGGCGGTTCTCAAAGTTCGATCTCTTCACTCCCCAGAAGGTGCCCCTGCCAAACAAAGAAGTCGTTGGAATGCTGTTCACGACATTTTTCCAACACCGCCCTTCTTAGCGCCGGAATGTTATCTCGAGCATTCTTGCGTTGGAACTCCACCATCCAAGGGGAGGGTCTGACGAAACACGGGTACCATCCTCACCTTGTCCACCAACGGAGTCCCCGGTGGTGGTGTTCCCGTCTCCCAGTTTTCGGCATCGTCGTCGGAACTATCACTAATGCTGGCATCTTCGTAGGTACCGCCCTTAGCACGAGAGAGCCGCACGGTGGAAGGGATGGAGAAATCCTGAGCGCTTGCGGGTCCACTTCCCGATGTGTTTCGTCAGTGGATACACTCCGCAAAGTGTGCTGAAGAGATCGGTAAAGACAGGAGTAAACCCATCGATGTGCAGTAGCAGGAGGTTTTCCATCCGGTGCTCTTCAAAAGGTACCCGGGAGCGTGCTGTGCCCCGGCGCCGTTGCCGGAGCATGAAACATGGAGGAACGTCGCTCATTTCCCTCATGTCGCTCCCGTACCCCCTTGCCATCTTTCTCTATTGTCTCGGTCTCTGACCTACCGCTTGTCCGATCACAATTTTCAAATAGACATTTTGGTTTCGCCGACATATTCCCCTACCTTCAATCCTTCGATACGTTATGCTGGTTTGGAGACAATCTGTTCTCGACGGCGCGCGCCGGTGTTGTGGTGAGAACCAACGCGCGTGCGAACAGCTCTACCAGGTTGCATCCACTCCCGCCCACCTTCGTCTCGTGAACCATGGCTCGCTCTCTCTCCAGTATCTGCTCCCGCAGCTGGGACGCAATGTCTCGTTCTAGCTCCTTGGCATAGTGCTTCGAGGGAAACGGGGACAACGTTTCCCCCGTATTTGGGAGATCGAGCGTGGGAAAAAATCATACTTCCTCTGGTCGCTCTCGTCTGGTGCTTCGTGGGACAGTCGTTGAATTTTTCGCCCGGTGCGTCATTGGGCAATCATCAAGACCAAAACCTGCGTGGTGAGGAACATCATCGGCAAATCTCTCACCTCCGTTTTGAACCTCTGCGCGGTGTTGTGCGCGACTTTGGTGTCCATGTACCTGGACTGGATGGCCTTCGCGGTAATGAGTTCGCGCAGTAGTGCGATGACCTGATTCGAAAAAGCACAGGAGTTTGGAAAACGTTAAAACCGTTCAACCGAAGTTTTGCTACGAAGGACCAACGAACCCGGCGGCACAAATCATCAATACATGAACTAGCCCCGGCGTCGCCGGATCCGGCGACACCACCAATGCTTTGAGTACCTCACAAGCTCATCACACACACACACAAATCACCAGAGACCGACCCGTTTCCGGTCAAGCGAACCTTAGCATCAGGGCCCGGCGGCCGTCCCAGATCGCTGTTGTCCCGACCGCAAGCTTCGACCGCGCGCCGATGTCTGGCCACAAAGTGGGCGATCCGCTTGCTAGAGGTCAGGGTATGGAGCTCGCCATCCAGGACCTTGCGGCTGTCCCACCGAGCTCTCTCCCTTTTGGTCGCCCGATCAAGGTAGTGAGGGAAGGTTAGCTGGAGCCGCGGACGGGGGGCGGTTGATACCTGCGATACCGTTGACATCCTATATTTTAACCTTCACAATCTCGAGCCACTCCCACATGATCGAACACCGATCGAACCCTTGCACGTTCTTGTTTTTCGAGCCTTCTGCGCATACACTAACAAAGGGTGTATATGGCATGGTTGCCAGGGAAGAGAATTACCAAGAGAGGAGTTTGGCTGATACGAGCTTCGAAAGGACACCGGAACCATAGGCCAGCATCCATGCTCAACCACCGAACATGACTCTATGTTTAGCTTACTTTGCAAAAGTTGAGAACGGGCCGTTGAAGGCGAGCAACAGTTCTCGAACCCTTAGCTTGTCGTTCTCCAGATTCGCCACAGGATCCTCGCCTCTGGCGCGTTGCCCTTGATGATACCCTTGTTTGTCTCGGTTCTCGCGCGGGACTTTCCTACGGCGGGGGGAAAACACGATCATCGCACATGAAATGCGCGAGCTCCAGTTTTAACATCAATCCAGAACTGCCGCACGTCTGAATAGACTAGATATCAACAGCCAGGAAATCAACGGGGGTACCCAGCAAGGTTTTCCGTTTGTCGTTTTATCACGCCAGCTTGGAGGACCAAGTTTTGGAGCTGCTTGAACAGGCATTGGCAGACCTCCACCATACGGCATGAATAGTAGTAAGGCCAAGGTCACCCTTAGGCCTTAGGGGAGGACTTACGTAAGGACCGTAATTTCGAGAGGAATCACGTTATGTACGCCTGCACCTACGCAGGCTCTTCTGACAACCAAAAGTTCTTGGTCCATCTTGACCACTGAAAATGAGACAGCTGATGTTCCAAGAATGGAACTGTAGACATGCTGATTCACTGCCGTTGGCACGCAACTACCGCTCGGGTCTGGGCCTCACTCTTCATCCCTCCGGTATCATGCTCCACGGTTGCATGTACCTCCACTCCTGTCACCCCTACCCAGAGCTTCTTCAGAGACCACGCATACTGCGGGGTAATTTGCTGCGGGGTACTTTGGCTACAAGCAATCAAGCATCAACGCGTACTTTTGTAGCATGCACCTCGACCAAATCTGCAGAATTTCCTCCCTGTCGAAAGGGCACTCCCTCAGCACCCAACGGCTTCCCCTCCTCCCTGGATGTCCATTGCGTGCTCCTTCCCTCGCCGGTCGTGTTCCACCGCCACTACCACCATCGCCGCCAAGCTCGGAGCCGTCGTCGTCCTCCGAGGCTGTGGGCGGCTTCCCGAGGCTCGTCAAAGTCATGTTGAACTGCCTCAGTCTAGTCGAAGCGTTTGTTTTCCCGGCGGTAGTACAGTAGATGGAGACCGAATTCGATTGCGATTCGGGTGGTGGGTTCGGGAGAAAGGTAGGTAGGGGCGGCCTGTGGGTTTGCATTTGTGGACACACACTCTAGTTTTCTCCGCGAGACCAGGGAGTCTTACGTGCGTCTACTTTTCCGGCGATTCTCGGAAGAATAGAGGGGTCACCTCTTGATCTTTCTATTCTAATGATATGCGAGCTCTCCATCGCGCCTTTGCGAACCCACTCCGGCCACCCCTCCGTAGGGAACTGCCGACCCGGAGGGAATCGATCGACAACACCGAGGTCGCGTCTGACTCAGGAAGACGGCGATATGGGACCTTCCTTGTGAGCAGCACAGCGCACTCAGCTCACGACATGCTTCTGGCTCACCTCGCCTCCTGCCGGTCCTTCTGCCGCCAGAACTCCGGGAATAACTTCTTGTCAATCTCGACCCACTCGCTCTCCTCGCTGGTACGCGCGACCTTGTCCTTGGCTCGCACCGCGGCGCAGCGCCTCTCAGACGCTCGTGCCAACTCCTCGGCGGAAGCCTACGGCGGTAAATTCAGCCAAAGAGATGTGAGGGGTGGTGACAAGCGTAAGATGGTTGACTCCGACATCGGATGGTGGACGTGCTGTTCTGTCCAATCAAACAATGATCGCATATAATTATGGGTTAAGATTGTCATACAAACGACGCATTGTTAAAACCGACTGTGAGACTCTTCGAGGAATTGAAAAAAAAGCTACATTTTGGAGACGTTAACAACATTCTCCGGGCGATATATAATTTTTAGGACTTTTTCCTCCCAGACATTCTTTTCAAGGAGTGATGCCGTTGGCGGTAGCCTGCTCCTAGAGATAGATGAAGGTTCTGTCGTTGACACGCTTGTCCACGACCACGTTGAGATGGGAAAGTTGCTTGTTATTGCTGAGAGACGATCAGCAAAGGTCTGGGATGAAGTGGAGATCCAACTTCAACTCAGGGGGTACGTCCGTTTTTTCAAAGGATTCAGAGCGATTTGGGGACTGCAGTGTGCCGTAAGGAGGGCATCGGTGTACTTGATGCCGGTGTCCCGAGCCTTTTGCGGTTGTTGCAAAACCATCGAAGGTGCCCAAATACTGTAGTATTCTGACTCCAAACCGTAGATCATCTATTGCAAGTATTGGATTGGATGAGGCCTCCTGCGCCGGGCAGGAGTCCTCGCCTGGAATTTCTCCCCGCGCTGGAAGAGAACCCTCAATGTGTCTCTCCCCAGCGCAGAATTCGTACCGGAAAAAGATCTTGGTATAACTCAAACATACTAGTCAAATATACCCTTCAAGCCCTAGCCGGGTGAGTGGGATGGTCTCAGTAATTTTGTGATCAAAGCTGCTCACTAGTTGTCGGAGCAAAAGAAGGGAGTGATCTCTTTGCGCACACATATCCCCTTACATTCGATGAGATCCGTGGTTCCATCAGTTGTTCCAAATCTCGGAATCATCCGGTCTAATCGGAATTACATTGTAGCATTCTGACTCCAAGCCGAGGATCAAATAATGTAAGTACTGGATTGGATGAGACCTCCTGCGCCAGGCGGTCCTGCTCATCCTTCGTTACCACCATTGATTTCTCTCTCCACCCCGGCGAGACGAGGACTCACCCAGACTTCCTTTACCTACCGGCACCTACTGACGTCCCGCGCATGCGGCAAACTGTTGTCTGAAATCCGGGGACCGGGGCATATCATTCGCATCGGCATAACCCTGCCCCCGGCCCCGCTTGCTACCCGACCGGCGACCACTAGTGGCAGCTCCAATGTAGTGTGCCGCGCCACCGACTCCGTCTTCCAGCCCCCAATCAGCATGATTCGGCTACCGCCGTCCCTGCCAGCGACTTGCTGAGGGAACCGCCTACACGAAAGGAGTGCATGGCAAACTGCGTCGGCCCCTCAGCCACCAGCAAGTGATCCTGCAGGGAGGCCGTCACGTGGGCCGCCGTAAGAGGGAGGTCCCCCCTCTTACCCTCCGCCGTGATCGTCGGAAATAAGTGCCCCCTCGGCAGGGCCATCCGACGCGCTCAGCGGCCGAGATGTACGCCGTAACGGAGCGAATGCCCAAGTACTGCTCTACTGCGAATGCTCGGAAATTTTGGGACTCCACACACATTGTCCAGTTTTCCCAAACGACCCATGGGACACCCATGGGCGGCCAATGAGAGCCCTTCAACCGAACCAGTGTTCTCCTAAACAATAGATTATCTGCTCTGGAATGGGTACCATAGCGGCTAATAGCCCTAACGGTAACCCTAACACTAACCCCAAGCCCACACAATACGTGCTAGGTTGGCGCTGGTCGCTAAGCTCAAGGTTAGTATGCCGGTAGTGAAGTTCTAGGTTGAAGTGCCGACGGTGGGCACTTCGTGGGCCACCCATGGGCCGCCCATGAAGGGCCCATGGGCGGCCCATGGTACCCGATAGGTGTCCCATGTGCGGCTTAGCAAAACTGTCAGTAGTGTGGGAGATTGGTAATTTTGGCCATAGTACACGAAAGAACAAACAATCACCATGCGTGGTGATACATGGCTTGGAGGTACGTAGCCCGCGAAATCTGTAATCAACTTCACACACCGTATCCTGTCCATCGTGAAACCGCCCGAGGAGTTTGCGGGCCTTGAGCTCCTTCCGCTGCAGTCGGTGAAATGGCGTCGTCTTGACTCTCTCTAGCTCCATAGCAGTAAAGCTTGAGGGTTTCGTCAGAAAGGGAGAGGCGTTCCGACAACATGGACGAAGAGGAGCAGGCTATTTAAACACGGTTGTGGTAGCTGTGAGGTTCTATGCCACTGAATGAGTTCGGTTTCTCAAAACGCCATCTGTATTGTCGTGTGGACTCTACATTCTGTTTGAGAAGTACCTGCAATAATGAGATTCCCTTGCTCGCCCTCTTGGATTACCGCACAACGCACCAAAGAATGTTGTATCAAGGCCAGGAAAATATGGGGAAACCAACAAGGCCAAGCTAATGGTGGACAAATATTGCACACATGTCTTTTGCTAGACAGCATGACAAGTGATCTCGTTGCAGTATTGGCCATCTCCGTGTCTTGAAGGCGCTGCCCAAAAACATCGTTTCACCTCTCGCTGCCATGCCGGGTACGCCACTGGCATCTCGAGAGAATATTTCCTGCGCGGCTGACGAATATGTTTAGAAGCCGAACCTCTCACGGCCAAAACGCCCGCTCAGCCCACCCTGGAGAGACCCCCCTGCAGACCGATTCTTCATTCCTGTAACCCTGCGCTTTGGTGCGAGACCGAATGGCCGACTACAAGTCAAAGCACCAGAATAGAATCTTTGCTAGATTTTCCGTCACCTGAAGTCCCGCAATCTCCATTCATCCGCAAGGGTAAGAGGCTTGATTTTTCCGGCTCCAGACCTGGTGCATGGGGATGGATGGATGTGAGTGAAATGCTCTTTTCACGACTACCATCAGCCACAAAATCCGCGTGCTGCATCCTACGTTCAACCATCGGTGCTATTTCACGAGGCCCACACCCCTCAAGCCGAGGTGCAAGTCTCCAAAAAGCGAAGTTCAAGCATTCCTCGCCATCTCTCAACAGCACGTCAATAAGGCTGAATGCTGATGTCCGCTATTTTCTTTTTGGATCATTGAGATTCGCTGGGCTCTTCGAAACCAAGTCAGCTGTGTGAGCTGTTCGAGCTTGGAAAAAGGTCACTGATTGCAACTGGCAGCTGATTCACACCAACAAATGCTGTACGTTCATCTTGCATCACGCCTTCATGACACTACTACAGCACTATGCCCAGATGAGCCCACGCCCGAGGTGCGCCTTATACCCCGCATATCTATCCTCGATGTCTAGCTGATGAACAACTTGTGGTTCGGAAACGGGCTCTGAGTTTCTACCTAGCTGTTTGCACCCCCGCACTGGTAGCATCAGATCGAGCCGTTAGCGCTCCTGTCGCTAGTCCTACAGCAGTGCCGTCGCCGCTTGTACCCAACCCCACCGTTGCTTGGCCCCCACCGCTCCATGTCGTGGGAGTGGCATAGGATTTCGCTTTGTCGGACCAGCCCTCTTTATTCCTGGTTCCGGTAGGATGCATGCCGCAGTACCGATGCCCGTGGAATCGTTAGAGGTAAGGGAGGCACAGAAAATGGCAGTAAC